GACATAAGATAGCTAAGATAATTGTACTACTCATTTATATTGGTTTATTGAAAGGAACAGTTAATGTTTAATTGTTTGATCAATCTTGCATACCTATGTCTGGTAATCTGAGCAACTACTTTAAATATAACAATAAGTAATACAACAACCATTGTTGATTTCCTATCTTGTTTTTAAATTCTGTATTGTTTTTTATAGTTTTTGTGTTGTTTTATTTTTTTGTCTTTGTCTTTGTTTTTGTTATTTTGTTTTTGTTTTTTTCTCTTTAAAATAAAATAAAAGAATAAAAACAACAATCAAAAAAAGATACTTAAATGAGCAACTTCGTTGAAGATAACAGCATATAATATAGCAACCACTGTGAATTTCTATCATTTTGTGTTGAGGTCATGTACCATTTTGGATGTTTTTGAGTTGTTTTGGTTTTGTCTTCATTGTTGTTTTATCAGTTTAAAAATTTTTTAAAAATAAAAAACATACTTGACATAGATAGGTATTAAAAAATCTATTCTAAATTCTTCTTTTGCTTTTTAAATTTTTTTTTTATTTTAAAGAGCAAAAGAACGATAATATAGTAATCGGGGGGCTTACCAAATTACAGACAAAGTGGTAGGAAATTATCAATGGTTGTTGTTTTACATATTGTTATCTACAAGATAGTTTCTCAGGAAAACAAATAGACAAATAATAGTGAATTACAGACAAAAGTGGTAGGAGATTATTGTAGTGGTTGATTGATTATGTCAACTTGAAAAGTTTAGAAGCATAACTAAACTTGGTTCAGCAATTGGCCCAGCAATTCTACATCCTAGGGTGTAGAGGAGCCACCCTAGGGTGGATCATCACCTAGATAATATAAAGGGGAAATGAGGAAGGACAGAGGTACTTCCATTCCTTTTGGAGGAGCTCCAGTCTTCACCTTCAGCTTGGACTTCGTCTCCTGGCTTCTAGTGCAGACTCTTCGGGTTCCACCTTGGATCCGTCAGCCTTCCGTCGCAGACTCATTGGCCTCCTGGTATGGACTTGCATGGAACTCTGCAGTGAACTCCAGACCCTGGACTGATTCCTTCAGTCTTCAGTGTGCAGACATCCTCTGCACACTTCCCTATACAACTCTCTAGCTGACCATCATAAGCCAATCTTGTAATTTCTTATAATTTGTATATCCTGTGTTATATCTGTTTTTCCAGTAAAACCCTGACTGATACAATTATCAAGAGTTGTTGTGCTATACTTTGGTATCTTCAAAGTGGCTTCTAAAGAAAATAAATAGAGCTATACATGAGTGACCAATTGAATAATCATTGACTATTCTCAATGGTTGTTGTAGGAAACACATAATAATAAACATACATCCATTTACGAAATAGCATAGGAACAATACAAACATTACAGAGATATGGATGGATTAGTAGGAAAATATCAATGGCTGCTCTAATACATGGTGGTATCTTCAAAGTGGTTTCTCAGGAAGACAGAGATACACAAGAAGGATCTAACAAGTAGTTACAGCCTAAGAGTTGTGAAAAATAGCATATTACCTCCTCACCAGTGACTCCTTTCACTGAGGTATGACGGCTGGAAGGAAGGCCAGGATTGAAAAGAAGGAC